CTGAAGAAACTCAGTCAGATTGGAGATAAATTTGAGAGAAAGAGTTGACGTACATCAGCCCATTTCATGAGCTTCCAGGTAAGCTCAAACACAACGTACTTCGACCAGAGCTTTTCCACGATTGCGCTCCACAGGACGAGATGATCACCAAAGAACACAAGCGCCACGTCCTCAATCAAGTCCTCCAAATTATCTGTGACAGAGCACAAATATTCGATCCAGAACCTGTAGGCATGTTGAACAGTCGGAGTCAAGTGTGATTGCAGCTCTGAGCTGGAAAGCGCAAGGTCCTCTGCACTGCCAGCTAGGTGCTTTGCCACAATATGCAAGCACCTGATGGCAAGTATTCGCCGATGCTCTGCGACGTTGATGAACCACTTGGTATTTCCGCACCTCTGAGGACTGGTAAGGTACTCAGCGAAGGTAGGGTGTACAATACGAATGGTGGGCGTTTCGGCACCGGCGGCGTAAGACAGGATGCAGCCGAGAGACTGCAGGGTATGGAGACACGGCGGTCGACCGGGTTGAGCGGTAAGACTGTCGATGATGTCCGCAGTGAGAGGCTCATGAGCTGCAAGGACGAGCCCAACAATGTCGCGGTAGCTGGAAACGAAGTCGTCATCGTTCCAATCCCCAGCGGACGACAGAGTGGCTGCGAATAGCGAGTCGAGTTCAGCAGACTTGGAGAAACCCTTCAACACAGCATTGAGCCTCGCGACTGGATCATGCGCGTCAATAAGAGAGCAGACCGTGGACGCATACACGAAGAGGCCGGCAGCACGTTGAGACAAGGTTTGAATCGCCGCTGCACCTGGCCAGGCTGGCGCCAAACGCAGGTGCTTGTTCTTCGGGGCAGTGCGTACTCGTCGCATGCTGTCCGACACGAATGCTTCGACATCGCGCAGGTTTGAGGGCGAGGTGATGTCGATAGCCTTGACGTGCGAGTTCTGGCATGCCGCAAGGGCGTGTTTGACGTGAGGTTCTTCGCGACTTGTGACGATGATACGAAGCCATGTCGGAAGCGCTGGTGCATGTGTGGTGAGGACCTCCAACAACTTCTCCTGCGCCTTGACGTCACCGTACTGGTCGAGTCCGTCCAATACGACGACCACGGGCCCCTCTTCTCCGAGTACTTGAACCTTCTCCGAGCACAAGGGCTTAACGAGAAGCTCTGTAAACTGGCGATCAAGGCTTCCTTCCATGGCGTGCGGATGCCGCTCGATGGCGTCTGCAATGACCTCCCCCAAACGAGAGTCGAAGAGAGCAAGTTGGGCGGCGAGGGTTCTGATGATGTGTGAAGATCCACTGGTCTGTGATGACTCGCGGGAGAAGAAGAGGAACGCGCCAAGCCAGTTGAGTTCATTGAACAAATTGGCGACCGTAGTTGCGATGGTGCTCTTGCCAGAGCCCGGTAGACCAAGCAGCCAGAAGATACCGGACTGGTTAGATTGAGATGTGACCCAACCAGTGATGTCTTGAATGAGCTCAGCGCGTGTGTTTGGAAGGCATGTTGGGCGGTTAGACGTATCCATCTGTGCAGGCCGAAGCCTACCAATCAGTTGTTCGCGGTCTGGAGGGACGAATGGACCCAGTTCCTTAATGAAGCACGATGAAATATCTGGTAAAGGGCTCACGGATGGACGAGACAGTGATCAGGACTCTATGGGTTACCAAAGTGACTTGTAAAGTAACACCTTCCGCCCGTGATGCGCGTAGCGCCTGGAACACGCTCTTGAAGTCTTCGATCCTTTTCGCCGGGCCCGAATACAACGCATGTTTGGCGACTCGAGCTGCATCACAAATGAGTCAATGCACGAACCGGATAGTAGGAACACAAGACGCACCCAGGAAAGCCGGCCTGCAGTACGCCTGGATGAAGGACGCGCACATCACTGTCTGTTTCAGTGTGGCGTCGATATTGGCCTCCAATTGAGGTGCTAGGACTGTGATGCCCTTGAGCGTATCGAGAAAGTCATACGCATCCGCCATGGCAGACACCAGTCCGACGATCTGTACGTCCCTATCGGCCTGCTCGTTCATAGCCTGGAGAACAAAAGTGACATCAGCGCAGGCTTTGAGGCCAAAAGGCAGGAATGACGAACCGTCAACACCGCAGACACGACTGTCCATGCCATATTCGCGATGGGATGAATCTAAAACATCATCCGTCAGCCCTAGTCATGACTGAGACAGTAAATACGCACTTTGGATGCATGATCCACCAATCCAATCAAAGTATGCAACCTCTCCGCGACCACCTTCAACGACTCCACCGCAGAGATCACAGACGACACGTTCGGCCCGTTGCCCAACCTCGCCGTTGCTACGTTCTGCCTCGCCGCCGCCAGCGCACTACCTGCCACAACCAACCCAGCCGACGCAGGTGTTACGGATTGCTTAGTGACGCGCGGAGCAAACTCGGATCGAATGTCCACTGGCGCTCCCAAGAACTCTGGAGGCACTGAGATGACGAGGTGGCCTACTGGATGCGGGCGGAGGATGGTCTTTGTGGTCGACGCGTAGAGAGGAATGCGTGCTGGGTTGGCAGCTTTGACCTTGCACACGATATCAACCCAAGTGGTCTTGTATTCGCCCATCGTATGTGTGTAGCCCGGTATGCTGGATTTATGTCGGAGTTGGAGTTCGATCTTGGTGTCGTTTGTGACATGCGCGCTGAAAGACATCAGTCAATTCTGCGCGATCGGTACATATAGAGTGCACAGACTGACAGATGAAAAGTTTGATCCCATTTGGGGAGAATGCTTCGATCGTTGACGGTGGTTTCATACTCTACCCCTCCTACGATGAGTTTAACGTAGCAATGAGGCAGTTTTCCAGTAAAAGAAACATTCGTCATTTTATCCGTGAGTCCGATCGCAGAAATGACTAGAGGGAAAGCGAAAATTCAGCAACTTTCTCTCATTTCTGAGCTGATTTCGACGCGCACCTTTAAATTGTGTATCCATTCTCAGCTGCTGGGTTTGTGAGGAGACCGCATACAAGGGGAGGAGGTATATGAAGCCTCTGACTGTAGGCCGCGAGTTACCTCCCTCGTGGCATCAGCATGCACAGAACCTTCCTCGGATGACGCGCTTTGGGCAGCGAACATTCATCTGTACATGAATCAGCTGCATTGCGGAGTGCTTAACGCCATGTGGGCCGAGTGCTTCTCGGAGATGAACACGATAGCCTGGTCAGAATGGTAGCTGTGATTCAAATCGGGGTAGAGAGTCTCTCCAAGCGGAAAGGAAAGCGAGCACGCACATAACTCGACCACTGGACGCGAAGACGAATCTGAAGAGAAGTGTTAGTGTTAAAGTGATCGCCCTGTTCCGCGATGTTTGACACGCGCCACCAAGATGGGGAACAGCACCGCACAATCTACTTGGGCAAGGGTGCGCAGTATATCATACAGACCAAAAAAGATACGACAGCAAGTACAATACTTATAAAAATATTAGCGTAAGCTAGGCTCGATCTCTCCGAGCAGCATGGTACCATCTTTGCTTCCAGTCAGGACTGGAACACGTAGAGTGAGTGACAGGCACGATACAAAAAGTACAGATGAACGTACTGATAGGTTCTTTTGGATGGAAGTCGACAGCAGTGACCGTTCCCTTATGCCCAGGCAGCTATCACACGAGCCAGCAATGTGAGCAGTTTTTCGCCCCATGACAATCACTGCGCGCACCTTGTACAACACCTGCCCGTTCTCCACGTCCCAAATAGTCACAGTGCGATCCGCTCCGCCCACGGCCACCCTCCTGCCATCATCATCTTTACTCCACGCGGCTCTCAGTAGCGTGTTCTCAAACCCGGCTGGGGATCCTACGAGCACGCGATGAACGCGTGATGGTGAAGGGGAAAACGGCCGGATGTCATGGATGAAGACTTGGGAGGACAACGAGGGTGACAGTAGGAAATGTCCGTTTGGTGAAAGCGAGAGGGAGGTGGGGGTGTCGGTATGTCCTGAGAGCGTCAAAACTTGCTCTTGTTTGCGAAGGTCCAGAACCTACAAGGAGGTCAAGGAGCAAATTTAGCGCGAATTCGCAGTGGCCAGAGGGGAATGAAGCCTACGTGAATCTCGTTGTCCAACGCGCCCGCATAGATATTCGCACCATCCGCACTCCAGCACACGGACGTGACAGGACACCCGACCTCAAAGACCGCAACCGGCTGCTTCGAACCTTCATCCCCTCCCTCCCAAACTCTGACTGTCCCGTCATCACTGCCCGACGCCACCAACTCGACTCCAGCACCTCCAGCGATCGTCCTGTCTAGCGAGTTGACGATTCCGCGGTGGCCACGAAGTTTGCGCACGCGTTCTCCGGTAGTGACGTCGGTGATGTTGATAGTTTGGTCTGCGGACGCGGTGTAGAGGACGGGGGAGAAGAGGGACCATTGCAGGTCAAGGATGGGGGCTTTGTGCATGCTTTGGAGCAGACCATAGTTGGTATTTGGTGCGTACGTTCTCCAGAGGGCTGGAGCAAAGAAGACATTGATGAGAGGAGAAAACAACACGATCGAGAGGCAACTACTCACAGACAGCCCTGTCCGCAGAGCACGCCGCAATATTTTGTCCCGTAGGATCGAACCTGCAGCTCAAAATCTCGGCCTACACGAGCAGTAGTGAGTCAAGGGTAAAACAAAGTACAAGTAGCCACAACATACCCCATGAGACCCAGAAAGGCTGATAATGGGTGCCTCCAAGCTACTCGTCCGTTTGACTGTCCGAATGAGAGCCTGCTGCCGTTCGTCATTGGAAGAGGAAATAGCAATCTGGTTCGCTTGTGGAGATTGCGACCTCAGTCGTTTTATGAGAACTCCTCCGGGTGGTGGGGGTGATGCGCTACGTTTCGACATCTTGAGGGAGGGCCAGGAAAGTGTATGGAGTGGCGGAGGAGGTGGACTGAGGACCAATCGGTTCCAGACTGAAGGGTCAAAGAGTTCGGCGTTGAAACGTTAAAGTTCACATGCGTTGATGACAAACATTCCCACATGGCCGCCTGGCGAAATGGCATCGCGTCTGACTACGACTCGAGTAATCAGGAGATTGCAGGTTCGACCCCTGCGGTGGTCATGCAGTGAACTCGATGGATTGTCTTTTTTTCTCGCGCTCCTCCGCGCTCAGCTGTTACTTGAACTCACGACCAACGCGTTCTTCTTTGTGCGACCATTCAACGACCGACGTTGGCATGTCGGTTCTCCTTGAAACTTCCCTCGGAGACCTTGTCATCGACCTGGAGGTGGACTCCTGTCCGGAAACATGCAAAAACTTCCTCAAATTATGCAAAGTGTACTACTATAACCTCAATGCTTTCTTCAATGGTGCGTCTCATCATCCATACTCACGCCTCGATTCTTCACTGACCACACTTTTCACGCAGTATCCAAAGACTTCCTGGCGCAAATGGGAGACCCGTCTGCCACGGGTACAGGAGGCGAGTCCATCTGGTCTCTCATCGCCTCTCAGCAAGGCAAACAAGCACCCCGATACTTCAGCCCCGAATTCATCCCCCGCCTCAAACACAAAACCAAGGGCACAGTCTCCATGGCCGTCGCGCCAGCACTGGAAGACGGGACGAAAGGAGGATGCGGAAGTCAGTTCTTCATTACTCTGGGTGAAAACATCGACTACTTGGACGGGAAACACGCGGTGTTTGGGCACGTAGTAGAAGGGGAGGACACGCTGGACAAGCTGAATGACGTGTTTACGGATCAGGAGGGCAGGCCGCTGAAGGATGTGAGGGTACGGCATGTAGAGATTCTTGGTGCGTCCTCCGTTTATGAGCACAATGGGCTGTCTTCCGCTGACGACGTCTTCTTGGTACCGCGCCCAGATGATCCGTTCGAAGACCCAGAAGGCCTCGTCGTCCCGGACTCCGTACCAACGAAACCACCGGACAACTCTAACCGCATCGCTGAAGATGAAGATCCCCTCGCGACGCTCCCCGAAGAAGAAGCGGAGGCTGAACGGCGCAAGCAGGCGGCGCGCGCGTCGGCACTGACGTTGGAAATGGTCGGGGATCTCCCTTTCGCAAATGTTCGGCCTCCAGAGAACGTGTTGTTTGTCTGCAAGCTGAACGCGGTCACGAGAGACGAGGATCTTGAACTGATATTTTCACGCTTTGGGACTATCATGAGCTGCCAAGTGATTCGGGACAAACGGACGGGCGATTCGCTGCAGTATGCGTTCATTGAGTTTGATAAACGAGAGGATGCGGAACAGGTATGGTTTCATAGTACAGCTTGTGTGCGCAGCAACCTGACATGTCCGCAACTCAACAGGCGTACTTCAAAATGCAGAATGTCCTGGTGGATGATCGCCGAATATGGGTTGACTTGTATGTGGTGCTCTGCCCGCCGCTTCTATTCGGACAATGCGCTGACGACATCACAGTTCTCAATCCGTTGCGCGACTCAACAACGGAGGATGGTCGAACAACGTCAAAATGGGACCGCGCAGAGGCCAAGGCAAGAGCGGGGGTTTCGGTGGTCGAGAAGACTTGGAAGCTACGCGGCGCTACCGGGAGAGTACTGACGAGAGGCAGAACTATGGTATGGTGTTTGACGTTCCGGATGACCGTCCGCGAAAGCGGCGCCATAGCCGCAGCAGAAGTCCACGTCGTGACGAGCGTAGGAGACGGTCCCGGTCTCCGAGACGAAGAGATGACGACCACAGTCGTCACGAGCATCGGGATAGGGATAGGGACAGGCACGAGCGGAGGCGTTAGGGCGACCCGAGCACCAATATCGTACGTTGTCCGTCAATTGTATCGAATCGCAATACGTGACTTCCGTCTCCCAAGAGATTCGTCCGCAGACGACTTCATCTCCCAATCACCGGGTTTGGTTGACAATTGATCACTGTGACTCGCTTGAGGTCTCTTGTGATACAACGTCTGCCGACATGTTGCACTCGCAAGTGACTCGTGTGTGTTTCTATGTCCCCACTTCTAGCAGGTGAGAGCTGCATCATGTAAAGACACCGCGTTTGGCCACGGAAGAAGGCTCTTGGGATTAGCGCCCGATCCGCTACACGCGCCGTCCGCCCTCCACTGGCCAGAACCTCCCGTCGTACTCAAAACAGGGCTGTGCGGTCTTAGTACCGGGAAATGTCTTCGCTTCTAAACTAGAATGCTGGTCCGGATGCTACTCTGACCCTCACACGCGTTGGAGACACATGGGGGCTGAATTGTTCCAAACAGGACCGGCCGTGGCGTCATAGCACCAGGTCTGGAGGCTGACGCGAAGTATAAAACATGGAGCCCTTGGTTCTTCGTCTCTCCCCCAAGCAACTCTGATCTTTCTTATTCTAACTCTTCTTACTTTTTCTTTCTTCACAAACATGTCGCTCTCTGTCTCTTCACTCTTTCAACCCGACGACGCAGACCTGGTGTTGCGTTCCTGTCTCCCCGACGCGGTTGACTTTCGCGTCTACCGCTGCATCCTCGCCGCAGCGTCCCCGTTCTTCCGCCAGATGTTCACCCTGCCCCAAGCACCCCCGGCGGACGGCGAAGAACCCACAGTACCCGTCGTCGACGTTGAAGAAACACATGCAACGCTCGACACGCTGTTACGGATTGTGTATCCAATGGTCGACCCTTGGATAGAGACGCTGGACGAGCTCTCGTTGGTGCTGGGTGCCGCAGTCAAGTACGACCTCGCCGTCGCCACCGAAACTCTACGCAAGATCCTCGTCGCGCCTCGCTTCGTCTCGAAGTGGCCCACGCGCGTGTACGCCATCGCATCCCGGTACGACCTGGAAGAGGAAGCGAAGATCGCGTCGCGGTATACCCTCTCCGTGAACGTCCTGGACTGCCCGCTGTCCGAGGACCTCAAGTACATCACCGCCTACGCGTATCATCGTTTGCTCGACCTCCATCGTACCCGCGCCAAGGCTGCTCAGGAACTCCTGCTGGACATGCCTCCGGACAACGTCAAGTGCATGCTCTGCAACGGCACCCATTACGGCACATTTCTCGCACCCAAGTGGTGGACGCAGTTCCAATCCATGGCGAGGGAGGAGCTGAAGCAACGTCCCACTACGGATGTCATCTTTTCGATGCCTTTCCTCGCCCAAGTAGCGTCGGCGGGATGCGATCGGTGTGCAGGGAGCATACTGGGCTCGTATGCGTTCTTGGAGGAGTTGAGGAAGAAGATTGACGATCTCCCTGCGACCATCTGATTCTTTCGATTTCTTTTACGTCTCTTCACGACCCCTTCACGACGTTTTATTCTTATTCTTTTCGCACGAACTCATGCACACTCATCATGGATACCCATCCCTCACTATCGCTATGCTACTTCCCTCATTTGCTTAGACAGTGTACCCAGACGATCTTCTGACATTGTAGTATACGAATGTACTAGTATCTCCCCAGCCTTAAGCTGGTACTTATCTTCCTTGACCACATCCAGTGGCCATTATTCGAATTCTGCGCATGCATGGTGTACAAATGTAAAGTGTTGCGTTCTGTGAGCCTGCCTCTAATCGATGCCTAGTGACGCGCCACAACGCCCACAATCGTCTTTCTATTCGTACCTTTGCCATCACATACGGCCCTCCGCGATACGCAACTGGAATGCCGATACGATTATCGACAAGAATAGACTCACTGTAATGTTCGTTCATTGATCGCACATAATAGCGCGTCCATGCGCAGATGCATGGATGGATAGGACGCACAGATGATCCGACCGCCCAGACCTTCTGACTCGCCGACACTACGTACGTTCTCTCTCATCCACCACCACATCCTCCTCCTCCTCCTCATACCAGAATACCCCAGACATGGCTTCACCACAGCTTGCGACGTTCAAGGTACCCGAGATCCACAATGAACCCATGGTAGGGTGTATCTTCGCCTGATCAGTCGTGCTTGCACTCCGGGGGCTGATCATACCATGCATGGCCTGCTATTGCATTGTGCACCTGTTAGAGAGCGTACGCGCCTGGGTCTGCGGAACGTAAAGGCCTGCAAGATGCGATTGCGCAGATGGAGAAAGAGCTCCCGTTCGAGGTGCCTTGCATCGTGAACGGCAAAGAGGTGCGTCTGTTACATCGTGGTCGCTTAGATCTGCCCGTCTCATTGCCTTCCTCTCCTCCACTCCTCCACTACCTTTCCCTGCACAATAGGTCAAAACTGGTAACATCGCCAAGCAAGCTATCCCATGGGATCACGCGAAGCATCTGTGCACGTACCACGAAGCCGACCCCGCGACGGTGGCCAGTGCGATCGATGGTGCGCTCGCGGCCAAGGCAGAGTGGGAGAGCATGCCATGGAACGACCGCGCTGCCATCTTCTTGAAGGCGGCGGATTTGGTCAGCGGGAAGTACAGGTACAAGTTGATGGCGGCGACGATCTTGGGCCAGGGCAAGAATGCGTGGCAAGCAGAGATCGATGCTGCTGCTGAGGTGCGTGGTGTCAGTACGCAACTTGGGGAATGTCGGACTGATTGAGGGTTGGGTGAGCAGCTTACGGACTTCTTGAGGTTTGGTGTGAAGTATGTCGAAGAGTTGTATGCGGTTCAACCACCGAGGAATACCTCAGGCAGCTGGAAGTGCGTATTCTCGAGTGTTCACGCGTTGTACAGAATCTGAATTCAGCCTAAGCCGTGTGGAGTACCGCGCTTTGGAGGGTTTCGTCCTCGCTGTCTCACCATTCAACTTCACGGCCATCGGCGGAAACCTTCCCGGAGGTACGTTCCATATCATATAATGCCATAGCTCAGCGCACATGCCAACAAGCTATTCTATTCAGCACCCGCTCTCCTTGGAAACGTCGCCGTCTGGAAACCCTCACCCGCCGCCACGTACTCCAACTACATCATCTACAAGATCTTCGAAGAAGCCGGTGTCCCACCCGGCGTCATCCAATTCGTCCCCGGTCCCCCCGCTGAGGTCGTCGGCCAAGCTATCGCCCACCCCGAGTTCGCCGCGCTTCACTTCACGGGAAGCACCTTTGTGTTCAGGAAGCTGTGGAAGGATATTGCGTCGAATTTGGACAAGTACAGGGGATACCCGAGGATTGTTGGAGAGACTGGTGAGCACATGGTTGTGGTTTGGCTATAAGGGGA